ACATACTGAACAACAACCACGCACGCGTTGCCGGGAGAGAACTTCCAAGCAGCCACCAAGACAGCCGACGACAGCCTCTATGACAGGTTTCAGCAAATGTCCGGCAGAAAGTTCTGGCCAGCCAAATGTCGCAGCCGAACAGGCCAAACACTCAGTTCCACGCACCAGTACGGACTTGAGAAAAGAAGAGACAGCCATGTCCGCAGAAAAGCAGCTTGCACCCCCACACACTGATCAGCAACAATGCACGCGTTGCTGGGAAAGAACTTCCAAGCAGCCACCAAGACAGCCGACGACAGCCTCTACGACAGGTTTCAGCAAATGTCCGGCAGAAAGTTCTGGCCAGCCAAATGTCGCAGCCGAACAGGCCGAACACTCAGTTCCACGCACCAGTACGGACTTGAGAAAAGAGGAGACAGCCATGTCCGCAGAAAAGCAGCTTGCACCCCCACACACTGATCAGCAACAATGCACGCGTTGCTGGGAAAGAACTTCCAAGCAGCCACCAAGACAGCCGACGACAGCCTCTACGACAGGTTTCAGCAAATGTCCGGCAGAAAGTTCTGGCCAGCCAAATGTCGCAGCCGAACAGGCCGAACACTCAGTTCCACGCACCAGTACGGACTTGAGAAAAGAGGAGACAGCCATGTCCGCAGAAAAGCAGCTTGTACCCCCACACACTGATCAACAACCACGCACGCGTTGCCGGGAGAGAACTTCCAAGCAGCCACCAAGACAGCCGACGACAGCCTCTACGACAGGTTTCAGCAAATGTCCGGCAGAAAGTTCTGGCCAGCCAAATGTCGCAGCCGAACAGGCCGAACACTCAGTTCCACGCACCAGTACGGACTTGAGAAAAGAGGAGACAGCCATGTCCGCAGAAAAGCAGCTTGCACCCCCACACACTGATCAGCAACAATGCACGCGTTGCTGGGAAAGAACTTCCAAGCAGCCACCAAGACAGCCGACAACAGCCTCTACGACAGGTTTCAGCAAATGTCCGGCACAAAGTTCTGGCCAGCCAAATGTCGCAGCCGAACAGGCCAAACACTCAGTTCCACGCACCAGTACGGAGTTGAGAAAAGAGGAGACAGCCATGTCCGCAGAAAAGCAGCTTGTACCCCCACACACTGATCAACAACCACGCACGCGTTGCTGGGAAAGAACTTCCAAGCAGCCACCAAGACAGCCGACGACAGCCTCTACGACAGGTTTCAGCAAATGTCCGGCAGAAAGTTCTGGCCAGCCAAATGTCGCAGCCGAACAGGCCGAACACTCAGTTCCACGCACCAGTACGGACTTGAGAAAAGAGGAGACAGCCATGTCCGCAGAAAAGCAGCTTGTACCCCCACACACTGATCAACAACCACGCACGCGTTGCTGGGAAAGAACTTCCAAGCAGCCACCAAGACAGCCGACGACAGCCTCTACGACAGGTTTCAGCAAATGTCCGGCAGAAAGTTCTGGCCAGCCAAATGTCGCAGCCGAACAGGCCGAACACTCAGTTCCACGCACCAGTACGGACTTGAGAAAAGAGGAGACAGCCATGTCCGCAGAAAAGCAGCTTGTACCCCCACACACTGATCAACAACCACGCACGCGTTGCCGGGAGAGAACTTCCAAGCAGCCACCAAGACAGCCGACGACAGCCTCTACGACAGGTTTCAGCAAATGTCCGGCAGAAAGTTCTGGCCAGCCAAATGTCGCAGCCGAACAGGCCAAACACTCAGTTCCACGCACCAGTACGGACTTGAGAAAAGAGGAGACAGCCATGTCCGCAGAAAAGCAGCTTGTACCCCCACACACTGATCAACAACCACGCACGCGTTGCCGGGAGAGAACTTCCAAGCAGCCACCAAGACAGCCGACGACAGCCTCTACGACAGGTTTCAGCAAATGTCCGGCAGAAAGTTCTGGCCAGCCAAATGTCGCAGCCGAACAGGCCAAACACTCAGTTCCACGCACCAGTACGGACTTGAGAAAAGAGGAGACAGCCATGTCCGCAGAAAAGCAGCTTGTACCCCCACACACTGATCAACAACCACGCACGCGTTGCCGGGAGAGAACTTCCAAGCAGCCACCAAGACAGCCGACGACAGCCTCTACGACAGGTTTCAGCAAATGTCCGGCAGAAAGTTCTGGCCAGCCAAATGTCGCAGCCGAACAGGCCGAACACTCAGTTCCACGCACCAGTACGGACTTGAGAAAAGAGGAGACAGCCATGTCCGCAGAAAAGCAGCTTGCACCCCCACACACTGATCAGCAACAATGCACGCGTTGCTGGGAAAGAACTTCCAAGCAGCCACCAAGACAGCCGACGACAGCCTCTACGACAGGTTTCAGCAAATGTCCGGCAGAAAGTTCTGGCCAGCCAAATGTCGCAGCCGAACAGGCCGAACACTCAGTTCCACGCACCAGTACGGACTCCAGAAAAGAGGAGACAGCCATGTCCGCAGAAAAGCAGCTTGCACCCCCACACACTGATCAGCAACAATGCACGCGTTGCTGGGAAAGAACTTCCAAGCAGCCACCAAGACAGCCGACGACAGCCTCTACGACAGGTTTCAGCAAATGTCCGGCAGAAAGTTCTGGCCAGCCAAATGTCGCAGCCGAACAGGCCAAACACTCAGTTCCACGCACCAGTACGGACTCCAGAAAAGAGGAGACAGCCATGTCCGCAGAAAAGCAGCTTGCACCCCCACACACTGATCAGCAACAATGCACGCGTTGCTGGGAAAGAACTTCCAAGCAGCCACCAAGACAGCCGACGACAGCCTCTACGACAGGTTTCAGCAAATGTCCGGCAGAAAGTTCTGGCCAGCCAAATGTCGCAGCCGAACAGGCCAAACACTCAGTTCCACGCACCAGTACGGACTCCAGAAAAGAGGAGACAGCCATGTCCGCAGAAAAGCAGCTTGCACCCCCACACACTGATCAGCAACAATGCACGCGTTGCTGGGAAAGAACTTCCAAGCAGCCACCAAGACAGCCGACGACAGCCTCTACGACAGGTTTCAGCAAATGTCCGGCAGAAAGTTCTGGCCAGCCAAATGTCGCAGCCGAACAGGCCAAACACTCAGTTCCACGCACCAGTACGGACTCCAGAAAAGAGGAGACAGCCATGTCCGCAGAAAAGCAGCTTGCACCCCCACACACTGATCAGCAACAATGCACGCGTTGCTGGGAAAGAACTTCCAAGCAGCCACCAAGACAGCCGACGACAGCCTCTACGACAGGTTTCAGCAAATGTCCGGCAGAAAGTTCTGGCCAGCCAAATGTCGCAGCCGAACAGGCCAAACACTCAGTTCCACGCACCAGTACGGACTCCAGAAAAGAGGAGACAGCCATGTCCGCAGAAAAGCAGCTTGCACCCCCACACACTGATCAGCAACAATGCACGCGTTGCTGGGAAAGAACTTCCAAGCAGCCACCAAGACAGCCGACGACAGCCTCTACGACAGGTTTCAGCAAATGTCCGGCAGAAAGTTCTGGCCAGCCAAATGTCGCAGCCGAACAGGCCAAACACTCAGTTCCACGCACCAGTACGGACTCCAGAAAAGAGGAGACAGCCATGTCCGCAGAAAAGCAGCTTGTACCCCCACACACTGATCAACAACCACGCACGCGTTGCCGGGAGAGAACTTCCAAGCAGCCACCAAGACAGCCGACGACAGCCTCTACGACAGGTTTCAGCAAATGTCCGGCAGAAAGTTCTGGCCAGCCAAATGTCGCAGCCGAACAGGCCAAACACTCAGTTCCACGCACCAGTACGGACTTGAGAAAAGAGGAGACAGCCATGTCCGCAGAAAAGCAGCTTGTACCCCCACACACTGATCAACAACCACGCACGCGTTGCCGGGAGAGAACTTCCAAGCAGCCACCAAGACAGCCGACGACAGCCTCTACGACAGGTTTCAGCAAATGTCTGGCAGAAAGTTCTGGCCAGCCAAATGTCGCAGCCGAACAGGCCGAACACTCAGTTCCACGCACCAGTACGGACTTGAGAAAAGAGGAGACAGCCATGTCCGCAGAAAAGCAGCTTGTACCCCCACACACTGATCAACAACCACGCACGCGTTGCTGGGAAAGAACTTCCAAGCAGCCACCAAGACAGCCGACGACAGCCTCTACGACAGGTTTCAGCAAATGTCCGGCAGAAAGTTCTGGCCAGCCAAATGTCGCAGCCGAACAGGCCGAACACTCAGTTCCACGCACCAGTACGGACTTGAGAAAAGAGGAGACAGCCATGTCCGCAGAAAAGCAGCTTGTACCCCCACACACTGATCAACAACCACGCACGCGTTGCCGGGAGAGAACTTCCAAGCAGCCACCAAGACAGCCGACGACAGCCTCTACGACAGGTTTCAGCAAATGTCCGGCAGAAAGTTCTGGCCAGCCAAATGTCGCAGCCGAACAGGCCAAACACTCAGTTCCACGCACCAGTACGGACTTGAGAAAAGAAGAGACAGCCATGTCCGCAGAAAAGCAGCTTGTACCCCCACACACTGATCAACAACCACGCACGCGTTGCTGGGAAAGAACTTCCAAGCAGCCACCAAGACAGCCGACGACAGCCTCTACGACAGGTTTCAGCAAATGTCCGGCAGAAAGTTCTGGCCAGCCAAATGTCGCAGCCGAACAGGCCGAACACTCAGTTCCACGCACCAGTACGGACTCCAGAAAAGAGGAGACAGCCATGTCCGCAGAAAAGCAGCTTGCACCCCCACACACTGATCAGCAACAATGCACGCGTTGCTGGGAAAGAACTTCCAAGCAGCCACCAAGACAGCCGACGACAGCCTCTACGACAGGTTTCAGCAAATGTCCGGCAGAAAGTTCTGGCCAGCCAAATGTCGCAGCCGAACAGGCCAAACACTCAGTTCCACGCACCAGTACGGACTCCAGAAAAGAGGAGACAGCCATGTCCGCAGAAAAGCAGCTTGCACCCCCACACACTGATCAGCAACAATGCACGCGTTGCTGGGAAAGAACTTCCAAGCAGCCACCAAGACAGCCGACGACAGCCTCTACGACAGGTTTCAGCAAATGTCCGGCAGAGAGTTCTGGCCAGCCGAAAACAACAAACGAGGGAAAGATAAGGAGTTACTGCATATGGAGGAGTGGAAAGGCAACATGGCCGGACTTGGAGGGCAAAAGAAGACACTGTTGGGACCCATGAACATCTGAGATCTGCAATCTCTTGACTGTAGTGTCCTGGCCATCGGTTCTAAAAATGTCTAGGGCAGATGATTTCATCGGAACATCGAAAAAGTTCCTAGCATTTGTTAATGAAGCAACTTCGCACGTGCTTTGAGACACCTCTAAAACGATGACTGGGGATTTCCTGATCAGGTAGCAGTCTCCTTTGTTGATGGTGTGGGTGACTCGTTTTGCAACAGAGAAGCATGTTGCTCCCGCATGTTCAGAAAGCCTGCGGCTAACTTGCGCCAAAGGGTTGCTATGTGTTCGCAGCAGGGGCTTGAGTTTTCCGAGAAAACTCTCGAAAGGGAATGCACTAAATGCGTCAAGCGGTCCGTGGACAAGGCACTCCTCGGCAAGGTGGCTCAATGTGTGTACATTGTAGGTTAAAAACCGTGCTCCGTAAAGTCCTACGGTGCCATACTCCTGCACAAAAAAACGAAGCAGGTCTCTGGCATAGGCGTTATGCTCAACGTGGTGAGCTGGTGATGCAAGAATTCTTATGGCCACATGCAAAAAGAGAAAATGTTCGTACTGGTGATCTGGAAGCAGGCCCCTCAGAACAACAGGTCCAACATACAAGAGGAAGGTCCGGAATTCTGTTGCCTTCCACCGGTCGACCTCGTCCACACCTCTGGGCTTCCGTTGGAAGTGTCGGGGGAATACTTTGGCACACGACTTTAGTCTTCTGTTGAGTTTTTCTTTCTGCGTGGTCCTCAACGATCCACGCCCCCTAACCCACGTTTGAAGCAGGCGGCGCATCACACCTAGACACACTAGATGCATGTAGTCTAGGGGGAAAAGTGAAATTATATCATTTTTCAGCAGAGTGAACGGCGAGTCACCCACGTGGTGCAATGGGTCCTCTTGGTCACGAAATGACTTGTCAGTTCGTTTTGGTGCTTCAAGTTCCGGGAATGTCATCCTTCCCTCAATGTGCCGACCCTTCTGGCAGCACCTCTCACAGCCATGATACCCAGTATGGCCCTTGACCTTCTTAACAAAGCTCCTTGCAGGAGCATCGCATATGACGGCTGTTAAATGGACGGTTAGGCACGAACCCTTGTAAACGAAGCCGTTGGCTGTCATCTCTTGAATTTCCTTCAAGAAGGGGTCAAGAAAACTTGAGAGGTCTGGAGGCTTGCCGCTGTCGCAAAACATACTGACAACAAAAGGGGTGCTTTCACCACAGTTTGTCAGGCGACAAAGGATTGGCCAAAAGCCAATGTTTCAACTCTTATAAAGAGGGAGCCCATCAATGTTTGCTTGGAGGAGAAGCTCCTGTGGCACTGTTTTCCCTTGCAGGGCTTGCTCGATACCTTTCTTCAGCCCAAAATGAATAAAAGTTCCATCCTGCTCCAGCGGGGCCTTCCTCTCGGTGCCGAGAATAGTTCGGGCATCTTTAGGGACGTCGTGGCCGAGTCTCCTTAACGCAGCAGCGGTCTCATTCACTGCTTCATGTGTGAAGTTGAAACGACGCGCTAAGATAGCCAGTTCCTCCGTGGCCGTGCGCGGACAGTCTTCCGAGGTAGCTCCGCTGACCTCGAAACTTGCGTTGCATGGCTCGTCTTCAGATGCAAGCGCGTCTGCTGGGTCGCAGCCTGTCGCAGGGTCAGCTCCACTTCCGTCAGTTGTGCTGCTTCCACAAGAGCCGGGGCAAGGTTCGTCATCGCTTGAAGCGCTGCTTGTTGCGTCCCTTGAAGAGTCGCTTGAAGCGGCGTCGGCGGTGGACCTTCCGGCGGCGGCCGTAGCGTTTGCGGCCGCAATCCTACTTGCGATTTCATCAAATTCCTTTCGCAATGTTCGTGGCTTTTTCCACCTCGAACTCATGCTGATCAGCTTGGTGAGGGGAACAGACGAGTCAAGTAAATAAAAAGAAAAGCGGTCGCCCGTAAAATAAAAGGAGCGCAGGGCCTGCGTGGGCCTGCGGAAAAGACGAAGGGTCGGGGGCGCGGGAAGGCACCTGAAGGAAAGAGTTCAGAACATACAGTACTCGAGAGGCTAGGCCGCGAGCGGCTGACAACGAGGCATTGTAGTGAGCCACTGATCAGTGTAGTGAGCATCTGATCACGTATAGGTGCCTCCAACCGAGTAAAGCCAAGACAGAGCCACCACCAGCCACGAGTAGCCTGTGCCGCTGTAGCAGCTGTGCCGCTTATGCCCTTCTTGAGATTCCTCCTGAACGGTGACATCTGGGCACAACAGCTACAGAATTTTTCGTCGTTTTCCTATAGTAAAATTAAAGCTTCTGTCTTGCACATAATTTTACAAGAGCATGAGCAACTCAATGTCGAGCAAGCGGTGCTGCTCTATCGGGTGCTTACAGCGTCTACGTTAAAGAAGTGGTTTATTAAATCGGTCGTAATTCCATCGCTACGCAGCAGGGTCCTTCAACCCTGACTTTGGGCCTTGGGGTGGGTGGCCGTCCTGGCTACGCGGTCGCTCCAGTGCGAGCTTCCTACCTTCGATAGCAATCGGGCGTTTCGCGAGCCTCGAGCGTGAAAGAACTCCCTGCCGGTGTAGAAGTTGCTAGCGGGAGCACATGAAAATCACTTTTTTTTTTTATTTATATTGTCTCACTTTCGTTAGAGGACGTGAGAATGAACCCCAAGTTGGAGCCACACGCTCGAGCCACCAGCTTTATCAGTATTGTACCGAGGTTGTACCTATGGCTGTACTATCAGTGAGTGGGGCACAAGCGAACGTGAGCACTTCGCTTGAAAAGATGCACCGATGACATGATTGTTTGCTTTATCACGTAAGCCAAAGGACCGTGTTTTTCAGCCCAGGTAAATAAACTATAAATCACAGAAAGCTCAAACTCCACGAGAATGTACGCTAGCGGTTGGGATATAACGCGGAAGTTTGACAACATAACATTGCTTGGATCGGGTCACATAAGCCTAATATGTGGGCGCCAGCTGTGGCATCTATTTCCAGCGGGGGAAAAAAAAACTTCTCACCAAGAACGAAAACAATATTCTCTTTCATTGACAAGTTTTTTTGTTTTTGTTTTTTTTTTCTTTGATATGAGTCCCAAAATCGTCCGCAATGTCAAATTCTGTTTTTACGATATTAGGCTTAGGTGGACGTGTCGGCTCGTAGAGAAATTCATTTTCTCTGTCATTTTTTTTATTCAGATATCGTAACGTTTTCAAACTTCCGCGTTCTATCCCAACCGCTTGCATCACATTCTCGTGAAGTTTGAGCTTTTCGCGGTGAATATTTAATTTATCCAGGCCGAAAAACACTGTTCTTGTTTCTCGGGTGCTCCCTTACAAGTTCCAAAAACAGTGGCCTGTGACCACTCCTGGCAAAACCTCAAAACAGTGAGCTTTTTTTTTTTTGCCTCAATAAAAACACAATAACAATAGACTATAGCACGTTCGTAGTCAAAAATGCTCCCAGCCGTCTTAAAACCCGAGACCGTGAGCTTTGTGAACTTAGTGAACCACCAAACTCCACATAAGGCTATTTGTCTCTCGTTACAAAAGCCTGAGTTTGTCATATGGGTGAGGCTTGAGCGCAGGATCCCTGGGCTTTGTTTAAGCAGAATGGCTGCCATGTGCTAAAGTGTGCTAACCTATGACAATACAATCCGCTGGGTACCTCAGCAGTTCTAATTTCAGCTGTGATACATCTTCGGTTTCTCTCAATAAAATGGCATCAAAGCAGTGCCATTGAGCATAGAAGATCTCGAATCCCAGACAGGAACTCACCGGACAATTAAGCTCACCGGATAGACGCTCCCCCCACCTCTTCCCACTTTGTAGATCGAACGCTGCAGAGGAGGCGACCTCCCCTCCACCATTCGCTCCACTAAAGAGGAAAGGGGTGGGAGGAGCTTCCGCTTCGTTCTTGACCTGTCACCGGCTATAGGCTCATCACTCCAACATTGTTGTAGTTCTTTCGATGAATATTTTTTACATGAACGGGCCGCTTCAACAAGTTTCCCGTTCGACTAATTCGCCTAGTGCGAACTGTCTTATTCGACGAATTGTCCGTCTACCAGTTGTCTGTCGGCGAATGGGCTTTTGACGAATGGTCCTAGACCCTGCCTCTTATGGGCTTTTGACGAATGGTCCTAGACCCTGCCTCTTATGCCTAGTTTTGACAGTCATGTTCAGTGCTATTGAAATGACTGCAATGGTAGAGGCGTTGGTTCGCCGTTGAGAATAAAGTAGCTTCGTGAAGTAATCACGAGTCATATGGTTGTCCAGGTTGCCTCAATCGACGTTCGCTGCGCTATGCCCGCAACCGACGCAAATGTCTGAACTAGTAGCAAGACCTGCATTCACCAGTGAAATGTGCAAAACAATATTTTTGTTTCACGCCCCTCGATGTGTTCGCGTTTGAATTTGATCAATTCAAACGTTGCGTTGTGCTTGTTAACAACAGGGGTGGATCCAGAACTCCCTTTTTGGGGGGGGGGGGGGGGGGGGGGGGGCAAAAAATTTGTAAGGATACTATTCTCCCATTCTTTCGTCTGCGCACCGGGGGGGGTTCAACTAGGTAAAATTGCCTTCCTAGATGAGGGGAAAGGGGAGGGGGGAGTAGACTGTCTGGGGGGTGGCCGGCCCCGTCGCCCCCCCCCCCCCCCCCCCCCCCCCCCCCCTGGGTCCGCCCCTGGTTAACGCGGCCACCAGATGCTAGGCAGCTCGCACGGTGCGAGCGGTGCGAGAAAACAATGCTCGCCCACTAATCAACGACACCTAATATTTTTTTGTTTTTTGCCAGATGGCGCGAGTTATCGCCCAACGCAATTTACGATTGTTTCCCTACATCCCTAGGTCCCTTTTCTCCCTCGGTTTCCGTGATTCTACAGGTCTGTCCCCGTGTCTCCCGAGTCTTCTTCCGAGCACGACGTACCGCACCGAGCAGCGCATTTTCTTTGTTTAATATTATTTAGATTTCGTAGATTACGTTAGTTTTTATATAGATTATTTCGTTTTGTGTAATTGTATTCTTCATCTGTGTCCCCGTGTTTCCTTCCGAGCACGAGGTTCCGTATTGAGCGACTTTTCTTTGGTTCGTATTATTTAAGTTTCGTAAATTTAGGTCTCCTTTCGGGCCCGAGGTTTTGCACTGAGCAGCTTTTCTTTGTTTTGTATTTAGATTTCGTAGATTTAGGTTTTTTTTTTTAGTACTATCGACTATCGTTTTTGTAACGATTATTTCGTGTTGTGTCCCCGTGTCTTCTGAGCACGAGGTTCCGTAGTGAGCAGGTTTTTATTTTTGTATTTAGATTTCTTAGATTTAGGGATTTATTTTTTGAGTACTTTCGTTTTTCGTATCGAATATTTCGAGCGGTGTAATTGTCTTTTTGCTGCAACGACGCAACAAGCTCAACGTCGACGATGTCCTGGCAGCCCGGGTAAGTGACCCCTTTATTACTTGACTTTCGAGCACGGCTGAAGTTTTAATGCGGAACTATGCGATTGGGCGTACTGACAGAGCAGAGAGCACAAGAGTTTGTCGAAGTGTGATTGAGACGGCGCAGTGTGTGCGTCACCGCGTTCCGTGCATCTTCGTCTCTTGAGCGCACAACGATGTTGCTGCTCGAGCGACGCTCGTTGAGAAGCTCGCGCGCTCAGTTATCCCGCTATTACTCGTGAAGTACCGTACGCTCGAGCTCCGCTTTGCTAGGGGGAGCTCGTGCCGTCATTTTGAAGCATGGGTTGGGCACGTTATCTCTGGGCACGCTACCTGAAAGCGTACGGTCTACCAAAACACCCTAAAGCCTGGTTCAGACAGTTGCGTTTGACTGCGTTTGACTGCGTTGCGGCAGCGAGAAACCAGGACATCCCTGCTGCTTATATCGCGTGCTAAGATGATTCCTTGGAATCCACGCTTCATACGAAGCACAGATGTGCCGGTGACTCGCTTTCCGTTCTCGACGCAACGCAGTCAAACGCACTCAAACGCAAGTGTCTGAACCGCCCTTAAGGCCCGCTTCACCGCTCATTCACACTGAAAGCGGATCCGCGTTCGCAAAGCGGTTGCGAACGCGGTTGTATAAAGATGCAGTACAATTGCACGCGCACTCAATGACATCAAGTGCGCGTGCTATTTCGCCCAGTGCGCGTGCAATTTCGCCCAGCAACTTTACGTCGCAACACCAGCAGCACGGACCTCCCGCATTCGCACGCAGCAGCCGAATTGCTACGACTTGCCATCATCATCAGGAAATTTTATTTTCCTTGCACTATTTAGACGCACAGTTACATGCTAAAAACATGTTTTTATATCTTTAAATTGCGTTAAAAATACAAACTCATCTTTCTGAAACAGTTCATTTCCAAAAGCGATTAATTTCAAACCAGAACCAAGTCTTCAGTTATCATAAAAAAAAAAAAAGCAAATTGGGTTACGGGGATATTTATTCACCGCATTCGGTGGGAGTTAGTACCACGAGGGCGCCACAGTATTTGGTGCCCCAGTAGACTTCCGGTAGTGTATTTATTTCTTCAGTAACACACAGCGATCGGAAAATAAGATTTTCCTTCGGAGAGGTACCTGTAATAGGTTTGTAAGAACCTACGCGCTTTGTAGAACGTAGTACAAATAACAAAAGGATGTGTGGCAAGAGGAAAAGAAGAGGAAAACCGGAAGCGCGCAGGGGTCCGCCGATAGTGGGCGGCAGCGAGCTTGTTTGCAAACAAACATTGGTGAATACAGCCTGTAGTTGGTCAGCAATTTAAAGTTGCGACAAGTCACTTGCTGTAGATGAGCAATTTAGCCAGTGCTGTACACCGCTAGCGTGGGGTCTTTAACGTGCACCACGCAGTAGTGATACACGACCGCACGCTGGTACGATGCTCATCGAAATGGGCAGGGGTGGGGCTCGAACCCAGGATCCCTGGATTCTGCAGCGTGAGCTTTCGCTCCACGCGCGTCGAGCTGGGTGTGCGCTTTAGCCCACTCGTTACAGGGGCCGAACCCGATTTCAGCAATTCGTGTCGATCTAGGGAAAGCTATGAAACAACCCGCCAGCAACCCCGAAAGTGCTTGAAAAGTTGCCCCGTCTGAAGCGGGCTGAATGGGTAGTATCCGTACAGTTGTCAGCCTAAATAAATATTAAGAATAAGTTTTGCATGCTCCGAAGTGGTAAGTTAGCGCGAAGATGTGACTCTGTAATGCCCTACTTGGTCGCACTGTTCAGTGCTTGGTGCTCTGATCAGTGCTGATCAGTACACTTATCACCAGTAGACAATGCTTGGTCGCTGCAGCATGAGTGCGGCCACCGAAAGCTTTGTATTTGCCATCTTGTGCCCACAGGAAGTCAGCCTTTTGAGCATTAGGCTAGATGGCATCCGTGCTGGAAAACACATTCTTGTTTGCCATCATTCGACAAAAAATTTTCTAAAACCCTGTGGTTACTATGTTATCTTCAAGAGCATGTGGACAGTTTTACGAAAGTGCAGCATTGCAGGAAAAAGGCAGAACTCGTCAAATGCAAGTCTCATGACATGATCAGAGGACATGCCTTGGCACGCCGAAATGCTGCGTCCTTGCCTTCGCACGCTTGGACACTGATAAAAAGTAGACGTCGTGTGAATGTGTTAACCATTCGGGAAGGTTTTGAAGGTGTGTCGCTTTTTACATGTCTTTGCCGCATACATATCACTCGCAGATCTCTGGATAGTCCAGCAGTTCTGTTTGGTTGCACTATGAGTGGTTGCTATCATGCGCTATCGGCAGTGTTTAAAATGTACTCGTATGGATCCGAATTACTCATGTCACCTGAAAACAGAGCAGCACAGTTATGTATGGGTTACAAATCACATTGACGCTTTTGAGCTATGCTATCAGGGGTGTCGGAAGTGGGAGATGGGGGAATCGAGAAAGATAAATTTCTATTCCCTTCCACAGATTTGGTTGCTAGAAATGTCCCGGAGGCAAAGAACGATCTTCTCCGCCGCTGTGTTCTGTCGGCACAAAATCAACTAATTGCTGGCCCACGAGTGCTGCAAGTTACAAATACAGTCTTCAGAGTAAAGTAAAACGCTGCTTCAGAGGCACATAAATCTTCATACACGACAGACCTTCAGCATCATCTACACGATTTCAATGCTTGTTCAGTATGCCCAAGTGTGCAAGGGTGGAGATGCAGCACTTCAGCATTCCAAGGCATGTTCTTTGATCCCGCCGCAAGACATGCATTCAATGAGTTGTGACTTTTTTATGCCGTGCTATGTTTTCATAAAGATTTCTATGTGTTCTCAAAGGCACCTATAACCAAGTACACAAGGAAAAAAAAAAAAAAAAATTCAGCGAATGATTGCTATTAAGTTGAAAACGTGTCTTTTAGCACACTGCCGCCCAGCCTCTTAAAGGGATACTACAACGAAATTTCGGCGCTTATTTCTTGGTCTATTCGTGTTCAAGGGAGCAGTATCACATCAGACGCACCAATCTCTTGTTGAAAAAGACACAAAAGGAATTTGAAAACGAGTTAAACGATTAGCAAAGAGCACCCGGTGGCTGCTGCTAACGCCTCCCCGAGAATATATTTTGTGTGTCCCAAAATGCCGCTATTGTTCCTCTACAAGATTATAGAAGATTAACCCGTCACTCAAAATTCGTATAAAAGCAGCCGCCTCCGTGGCTGGAACGTCTAGGACATCTTCTCGATGTCAGCCTTGACGCAGCTTTGCTCATCTCGAGACAAACTACGTCACGATTGCGGCGGAGGCCATGTGCTCTCCGCTGGCTGCTCTCCGAGCACTTGCCAGAGTGGGCCGTTTATAACGAAAAACACAGCCATCAGGCTCAAAATACAGACGTTTTATTGTCATTTACGGATATTGTGGATCATATTCAGCCTATTTGTGAACACGACGGGTATATTTCAAATTTCGTTGAAGTATCCCTTTAAAACGCTTTAACTGGTCAACATCCCGTTGGTACATGATGGCCGTCTGGTGGCTGCATTCGCGGAGTGGAGAAACGTGATCTAACAATTGTCATAGAGATCAGTAAATTAATGCATTTTTTTTTTAATATCAAATAGCAAACTTAATTTAATCGTAAGTTACAACAAAAATATGAAACTCTTCTCTTTTTTTGGGTCAGTATGCACACCTTTTTGTGTGAATTTAGGAAAAAAACAAAAACATTTGTGACATTTCATTTAACAGGCATAGGTAAGAAAAGAAATCTGATTTTTCTCTCGTTTTTTTTCCCCAATAAAATGCTCTGATTGCCGGCCCTCAGGAACTCTATCTCATTCTTAGTCGCTTTGTTAAACCCAAGGTACATTGTGCAGTATTTAAAAATAAATAGTGTGGCACACCACGAACTCGGTGTGCCACTTACACGGGCTTGCACTTGAGCCCGTGCATTGCGAGCGCTTGCCCGTGATCATAGGTCAGTCATGCTCAAACCTTTGACGGAGTCGGACGTCTTTCATTATTGGCGGGTCTGCTGGGCCGCAGAAACCGTCCATCTTCAGTTCCACGCGAGTGAGCCCTCATCAACTTATTCCGTGTCCTCTTAGGCCCATCCTCCCTTTCTCAGCAGCACGGCCCTAATCTTGAATTATTACCCACTGCTAATCAGCTGTGGCTTTGCCTTGCAGTAACGAAAATGTTATATTCATTACAGAAAGGAAAACCGCCCTTTTTGTGCGGTTGAGTTTGTCGGGGACGACAGCGTGGCCGCTGTTCCGACGGCCTGGCTCGATGCTGACAAGACGATGTGTTCTTGGCCAAAAAACGTTCCACCGGCATCAGTGATAAAACTGGCCCAGTCTCAGGCCCCACCTGGGAATGAAGAGGAGTGGCCCCTCCACCCTGTGCGGGTGTTCTCCTATTGCAGTAAGTGGTGTTTGTATGATATCCTCGTGGCTTCAAGTTGTGAAATCTTTGCACATACCTAGGGGCATTAGTCATTGATATGATCATGTAGTATATCTAAAGGTAAACAATGTTTAGATTTGGACTGAGAGTGTAGTTTGCACATACAGGGATGCCTCGTTAATATGGACACCTCCGTTCCTTCCTAAGATTGTCCATAATGTAAGCTGGCCACATTAATAAGACAAAGGTTTATCTAGTATTTACCCAATTCGATCCCGAAAACTTTGTCTATATATATACACAAATTCAGCTCTGTTATGTCATGGTGCGGTGGTGGTGCGTCAGGCACACTTCCGGTCTGGGGCTGTGGGTGGAAGTCACCATGCGGGGCGTGCATGCCTGTGTTTTAGAAGAAACCAGGCAAAAACTTGCCTTCTCGTCAAAATGCAGCAACTGAGGCTGTACCAAAACAGTTGCGAAAGGTTTGAGGATCAGTATTCATGAGTTTTCTGCCTGCTTGGTTCATCCAAAAACATGGACAGGGCTAGTGAAAAGGAAAACCAGATGGCATTGGACCACGATTGCTTGTACAGAAAGCACTTTGAGTTGAATTCGCGGATACTTATGGCCATCGAATTCATTTGTTTTGTTCCAACATGAATGTGAAAAAAACGGCCAAGTTGTTTGGACCACCCGCGGACTATGTTTAGTGTGTCTTCAAGTTCGGACGGCTGCCTGATCGTTCAAACCGTTGTCTGCTCTTCCAAACGTTCCTGCTCGTTCAAACGACAGCGGCCCGTAGCGAAAACATTGACCTGGTAATTGCAATATGGAGTAAGCGCAGGCCTTCAAAAGACCTTTAATTTTGAAGGTTGGTCAAGGTAAGCAGGCTCAGTGTAAACAGTAGATACAAGATGTTGATAATTGTTACTAGTTGCCATCACCGACTTGTTATGTCTCATTCACTTGGACTGATTCTGCTTGCAATTTTTCGTATCAACGTCAACCATCTCCGCTACAGTTCATGCTTTTGCAGCTGGAGCGACATAATGACTGAAAATAGCAAGCAGAATCTCATCCTGCGAATCAGGCTTTAGCGTCCATTCTGCGGCGTCTACGCGGAAAGAATCGCCACATGCAGTGAAACAAGCCTAGTTAATTTTGCTTAGGCTGCTAAAGTAGTCTGACTCTGCCAGGAGGACATAGAAGCAAAAATTGCAACATAGAAAAGAGCATGGGGACACACATCGACGCCAAAAACGTAGCATTCCAATGGTTTGTTGACAGACGACGGCAAGCTTGTATTGATCATATCATGTCGTATTGCACCTGAGACTGCGGTGGAAGAAATCGGAAGAACTTTCAGTAGAAGGAACAGACACAGAGAACGTCTCAATCAGAGAGAACGTCTCAAACAGACACAGAGAACGTTCCTTCTACTGAAAGTTCTTCCGATTTCTTCCACCGCAGTCTCAGGTGCAATACGACATGATTAGCTACCACCAGCTCACGTGCTCTCTCACCGTCTTTTCACTAATTGATCATATGACTGCTTTGAGTAATTTTCACTAATTGATCATATGACTGCTGATTCCAGTCTACGTCCGGCAGTAAGACCAGGGACTACGTCCCTGGTCTTACTGCCGGACGTAGACTGGAATCCTCGTCCAGCACCAGAGCCTTCACAGCCCGACAAACCCGCAGACACGATCAAAGATGACGTCTCAGACAGGTCAGACAACCAGAGAGCCATTCGGGAGTGACCAAGAATCCCCCATTTATTGGTGCAACCATAAATATAGACAGATGAAACAAATCATATGACTTGTGATAACAGAAAGGAAAGAGTAGCTCGGAGCATTATCACAATGACATGAAAGATGCAGCACTTGATCTGTTTCAGTGCTCGATCTCACTGTGATGACTGCGAAATGCTAGTGCAGGTGCTTTGATTATTTTAGATGGTGTTGAGCTAGCCCATCGAACCTGACAGCAGCATCAGAAACTTGACTGGTAATGAAATGCGAGCTCTCTGGGAGTATGATTGCAATTGAAATTTCATAGTCAAAAATATGTATCATGTGGCGATAGAGCAGAGCTTTTACGTGCACGTTTTCCCTCACAGTTGCCATAGCACTGTCAGCAGCCAGTGTAGGAAACGAGCGTGAGCCTGGAGTATCTCTGTTCTTCAAAAAGCCGTAGTCTTGCACTGCACACGCACGAAAGGGAGCGTAGCACTTGCTAGGTTGCCATGTCTGTATTGAGTGACACACGTTTACATGTTCCGGCTTATAGGTCTTATGAAAACCCGTTAACACACAGATGCATTTGACTAGGACCGACTGAGACAAGACTGATTTTTTAAGCTTCTTGCGAAGGCCTATGACCAGCAGTCCAGCAATGGCAGCCGGTCGTAGGCAGTCGCAAGAGGCTAAAAGCTGATCGTGTCTCATTCATTCGTAGTCAAATGCAAGTGCGTGAATGGGGCTTTACATACAATGGACAGATTTGAAGCTCGCAAGCAGCAGCTAAAGTTGCTTCGGCTGCTCCTAGTGCACGCCATTTCAAAGTTGCACTCGCCCTACAAATGAAAGTGTCACCTTATGCGGCGAAAACCTGAGTGAGAGGAGAAGACGAGGTTGGATGGGGATGTCAAAACGCTGAACTCTGGTTGGAATGATTGATGCGTAGGTCTAAAGCTAGCTATCTTTGTCTCAACTGCACTTGTCGAACACATCAGAATGGGAATGCCAGCGTCCGGCATTGGGCTTTCAAATTCAAACACGTTTGATGAGTGCAGTGGAGATAAAAACAGCTAGCTTTATTTCTACCACTAATCATTCCAACCAGAGTTCAGTGTTCCGACGTCCCTGTGAGCTCTCGTCTTATTCTCTCAGTCATTTTCTCAACACATAAACCCCAATACACTACTAAGTGCTTCAGTCATGGGTGTTTATTCTCTCGGCATTGCTGCTTTTTGAGCCAAAGTTAATTTTGCTCTGTGTAGATGTTTGTGGAATCGCGACAACTGATTGTGCAGCTGCAGATGTTTTGCATTTCTTCTGACCATGACTGCATATGGGGCCTTTGCATTAAATTTCAGAATGATGCAAGCAACAGTGCGCTTCTCATGCTAGCAGCAGACACCACACTGTGCTGTACATAAAAAAAAAAGTATTTGAAGCCTTTACAAATGCTGATCTTGAAAGAGTGCTGCTATCAGGCATTGCCCCCAAATGCCGGTTTCCCGGCAGAACACTACAATAATATATCCTTTTGGTATTGTAAGCTGTGAAAGGAACCATATCTAGAAAATTGTAAATTGGTTTTAGTGATTTTTTGCTCTGTTATGGGTTGGCATTGCAGTATTGTAAACCAGGTTTTGCACGAGCTAAATAATTAGTGGGTCTGTATCAATTTGCTTTCTCTTAAAGAAACATACAAGAAGGCCAAAAGGAAGGCCACCGAGGGGCTGGAGAACTCGTGCTTGGAGAGCACAGATGTCGGGGAGCCCGATGATGGAGGTATGTTGATCATAGCAATTTAACATTTTCAGCAGAAGAAATGGTTCTTTGTTTAACCTAGTTTTATTCTGATAATATGTCTGTTCTAGCCACTGGGAGAGACAACACGGCCGACGCTCCTGTGCGTCTCTCAGTGCCCATTCCACGTGAGTTAGCCTACAGTAAAGAAAAATATATTTCATCTTTTTTTTACCTTGCGAGAGACACTGACAATGTATTTACACTTGACATTGATTTTGCAGCTACTGGCCTGGGAGGTGCCTGTGCAAGGGGTAAGTGTCCTTGCTTTATTTCCACATGTTTTACACATGAGAATCTACACGTTATTCATGAAGGTTCAAACCTATCTAGAACTGTAAAAAGTGATTCCTCCATTTGACTTTAGAAAACAGTTAATTTGAATTGGGATTTTAAGATTTTGTTATTTGAAAGATGCTCGTGGATACAAAATTCCTCTTTTATGTGAATATAAGCAAACAATAATTTATGAAATTAAAGAGAGTTTGTTTTAAAATCACGCCTAAACCTTTCTGATGTTCCATTTTGGCAGTATGGCAGCAAGAAAAAAAGGGGGGGGGGGGGGTTCATGCCTTTTGCATGCATTGCATTCTAAACGAGTAGATAAAAGTTGTCTAAGATTTTAGAAAGAAAAGGGGCACTCTGGCCAAGCCATAATTGCCCATGTGGAAAGTAAATTGTGATACTTTTCTCCAGCCCCTCCCAAGCGCAGGGCCCCAGACCCTCCATCCAGTAAGGGGTGGTCCAAAGAAAGTCGGGCTCCTACATCTCGTAAGTTTCACAGTCGGCTCTTTCCAATGATTCACAGATAATCTAGACTGACATAGGAAAGTTGTATATTTAACCCGCTTGTTTGTATTTCTAGAGATATCACATACAAGGTTATCAGCTATTTTTTAAATGTTCAACAAACTGTGGCTAGCATTAATCTGCTTCGCTCACTGATCTCTACGATAATTGCTGGATTGCGCTTCCCCGCTATTCGAATGCGGCCACCGGTTGGCCATCGTGCCACAGGTAATCAACCTTTTGGAGCGCAGCGAGGCTGGGCGGTAGCGTGCTGAAGATATGTTTCTGCTCGTTCGTTATCATTTGCCGGAGAATTTTTTGAAAACCTGGTGTAACCGTTGACAATTACCTTTAAGAACGCGTGGAAAGTTTTACGAAAGTACAGCACTGCAGGAAAAAGGCACAACTCGCCAAGTGCAAGTCTTGTCGGTGTCGCAACGTGATCAAAGCTTCCTTGGCACGCCGAAGTGCTGCATCTCTGTGCCTTCGCATCCTTGGATACCGGTCAAGCTAACAGCTTGGTGCTACTCAAAGATCAGACTTCACCGCCAGGCAAGGCGGTTTATAGAGCACAGCGCAGGCCTAATCATAAGATCCAGTAACATTCATACTGTAATTTTCATGGGTCAGTAAAGAGTCTAACCCGGAAAATTTTTTTATGTGCTTCATTATATAACAAGCATAAAGTGTTGCGTTCATTGGAACTGCTGAATGCCTCAAATAGCACACTTTATTTTGTTTATAAAAATAATTGCATATATACTTACTGCAAACTGCTCTATCGTAACCTCATGCGATTACTCATGAATTCCACCACCTCGGTAAGTGCCCACAAGAAAGCCTCCCTTCAACCACCGCTGCCGCCCCCCCTCGTCCGTCGCCACTGCATCAGACTTATCTGGACCACGAACGCCGCAATTTACAAATGCCGCCGAGACCGGTTATAACGAAGTCAACGGGAATCGAAAATCACTTCGCTGTATCCGCTATTTCGTTATAACTGACTTTGGTTAACGAAGTGTGAAAGGGAATGGGAAATCGAGATTGCTTTGATGTAGCCGCTATTTTGTTATAACCGGTCTCGACACTACAGTCACCACAGTAAAGTAAAACGCTGCTCCAGAGGCACATAGATTTTCACGCACGTTGCACATGCAAAACACATCAACACGGCGTCGATTCTTGATCGCTATCCACGTGTGTGAAGGCACAGAGATGCAGCAGTTTGGCATACCAAGGAAATTTCTATCATGCCGCTAGACCGGCTAGACTTGCTTTCAAGGAGTTGTGCTTTTCTCCTCTGGTGCTGGACTTTTGTACAAATTTGCTCATGTTCTCGAAGGCCAACGAAGGTCACCATTTACGCCAGGTTTTAAACAACCTCTACGACAAATGACAATAACTAAGCAGAAAACGTGTCTTCAGCACGCTGCCGCCCACCCTAGCTGCGCTCTGAAAGGTAGATTTTTTGTGGCAAGGTGACTGTGCGGTGGCCGCATTTGTGCTACAGCAACCAAGCGGGGATGCGCGATCCAGCAAATTGTCAGAGATCAGTGGCTTCACTCTTGAGCTGCTATACCTCTTTCACTCTGCATGTAAGGTTCTTGTAACAATTGTAACTGTTGGAATTAATGATTTGATGAGCATAAATGAGACAGCTGAGATGTTTCCCCTTGTCCACCGTCTGATACAGCCAGTGTTATTAGTTTAAAGGGATGGTGAACCGAAATTTGGATTTCAGAAAAAACAATGCAGGAAATGTAGGCGGGACGCTACAATCCCTACACCACTACTCGTAAGGCGATATCTCGAATGGATGGCCGCATTTTTGGAAAAAGAGGTCCAGATTGAACTAGGCCGACGAGGCGCGTGACATCACTATACCGAGTTTCCTCCTCTCTCCGCTTCGCTCCCTCAAGGCTGTGAGGCAGAGAAGACGCGAGGCCGTTCCCTCTCCTTCTCGGAGAAACATGGCGACATCATCTCTCTCAAATGCGCCTCCTTTTCTTGAAAAATTTGGTCATCCGTTCAAGATATCGCTGTATGAGTGGTGTTTTGGTGTTTGTAGCATCCCATTGCACACTTTTACCGCGTGTTTTGTGTAATCAAAATTTCGGTTCAGCATCCCTTTAAAGGGGTACTGCAGCAAAATGCCTAGTCTATTTTATGGTTTAAATACCAAGCACATTTTGGCCACACCACAAAGATGCCAATTTTTAGTTTCAATTGACGCCAAAAAACTTTTTAAAACAAAAAAAAAAATAAAAAAAAAAAATTTATTACCAGATTACACCTGGTGGATGCTTCCGAACGTTAAGTAAAACTTCACATAAAAGCAGTGCCACTCCCTAGAGGTATTGTGCTAAGCTCTGAGCGTGCATAGACTGTTAAACTTGGCGGAACTGAACTTCCCTTCTCTCCCTTGGCGGAACCGAACTTCCCTTCTCTCCCGTGCCTATTCAACTTCTGCGGGAAGCGGGCCTCTTGAACCGCCAGATTGTAACATGTTGACACTACCAAGTGGCACAGTTCACAACCACACCAGCCTCCTTGTAGCCTTGCCCGCGAAGTTAAACCTTACATCACGAGCGCGCTGTAGGTGCTGGTTTTCTCAAGAAGCATAGTGCTCTCCGACAGCTGCTCTCGATGGAATTGGCTGTTTGGAACGAAAAATATAACCATCTGTTAAAAATACTAATGTGTGATTGTCATTAGCTGACTTCAGTGATTACATTTAACTTCTTTCTTAACGTGGGAAGTATATTTTAATTTTCATTTCAGCATCCCTTTAAAAAAGGCTGTCTATACCGGCATTTGTGATGACACGTTTCACATGCACATTTTTTTGGCAGACTGCAGAAAATTTGCTGTCGCCTCCAATCTGCTGCCTCCGGTCACTCATAAAATTTTTTGCTTGCCTCGAAAACCGTTTATAAAAGAAGTCACCAAGCTTAAGCTTTGGACACCTTATGCTCATTTTGGAAGTGGAGCTGACAAACATACTTTGCCTCCCAAAAAGGTGTGCATTTGAAGCGTATCTGTCAGATTTCTTGACATTGACTGCCCTTGAGATGTTGGGCAGAGATGGACACTGGCTGTGCCAAAATGGCTGATATGTAGTTGCTGAAAAGTGTGAATGACTTGTGTGACGAGTTGAAAGACCTTAATCTGAGACTAAAACATACTTTACCACAGCCCTGGCAGAGCGGCAAGCCCCCAGGAGGCGGAATTTGGAGGCAGCTGAGGCAGCTCAGGTGGTTGAGGCTACCATGTCCCGTAAGCATACCAGATGTTTCATTACGATCACTGCTTAATATTGACCTGACCAAGTTTAGAAGACTGGCACAATCACATCTGTACATTTCATTTTTCCAATGCCCTTAGTATGGCATTAAATGCCCATACTCTCGATATAGTTCGACCACCAAAACAAAACCTGCCCATCACTCGTAATGCTCTGTTTTACATTTCAAGAATGAGATGTTTGATTGCCTGTTAAGAACAACATGTTTGACATCTTTACATGAACCGGTCATTGCTGATATCTACATAATCTCACTTCAACATGAATTGCAAGTCCCCTTGCTTTAGAAATAGGCCTTGGCTGCATGAATCCTTGTGCAGCAGAAGCACCTTTGAAACCTTAACGTGAATGGCAAGCCTTCTTGCTTTAGAAAATGTGCCTTGGCTGTATGAATCCTCGTGCAGCAGGGGCACCTTTGAAACCTATCTGTTCATACTTCTAGCTTTGTATGAGACCAGTTCTGCCTTTTGAACATTGATGCTTGTCATGATGGCAGTTGCACTGTGGCACCGACAGGTGGCAGCGGTGGGGGTCTTGTTAAATAAACGTTTTGAGGCCCAAGTCAGGCACTCGGTGCTTACACCAAAACAGGAGTGTTGGACATGCCTCGACGTGGCCTTGCCATAAGTCTGCAGTTATGGCAATACTCCGTATACAAACGATCATACTCCAGAATCACAAATTGAAGACCTCTCATGCTCCTAAGCAAAAAATAAACAAAATCGTTATGAAAGTGCAAGTATTGCCAACCTGAGCAAAGTGTACTATCGGGGAAAAATGAAATGCGAACAGAGGAGCGCGTGGCTCGCGGTACAGGCTGCGCCGCCTGGAAGTGAGCCTCGGGGCGAGGGTGCGTGGCCTACTTCGATGTGTTCACGCCCTTCGATTGGCGCTCGCCCAGCTTCGGCAGTGCGCCTCTCAGTGCGCTGAAAGCCGTCACCGCTATCTTTGCCTGCTCGGCGAGTGCGGCGAGCTTCTTTCCACCGCTCGCGCTGAGCCAGCAAAGATAGCGGCGATAGCTTTCAGCGCACTAAGAGGCGCACTGCTGAAGCTTGAGGAGCACAGAGGGAGGGGCGTGAACACGTCGGAGTAGGCCACGCACCCTCGCTCCTAGGCTCACTTCCAGGCGGCGCAGCCTGTACCGCGAGCCACGCGCTCCTCTGTTCGCATTTCATTTTTCCCCGATAGTACATGAAAGCATCCTAGTTGCGACATGTCATTTCATCAACTCTGAGATAAAATAGTTTTCCATATGTCCAACGGTTGCGACCTCTTTATCAGTGGCATTGATATCAGTATCTTAAGGAACCCCAACGTCCGTCGGTATCAGTGCCTTGAGGGACCCCAAAGCAGACTTTGTACACATGATGCCAGCAATCGCTTACATCAGTAAAAAATGTCGGTGACTGTGCAAGTAAGCACACACATAGGGCAGCAGGTGGCACCATTTAGCCGGCAGTAGTGGTGGCGGAGAAAGACCTGCGACCTTAACCCCTCCGCCACTCTGGGCTAGGTGGGGCAACCTGGTGCCCATAGCTTGGGTTGATTTGCATGTTCAAGCTAGCTGTTTTATTTTTATTATCAGTGACAGCTGTTTTATTTTTATTATTCAAATATCTAAAAAAAAACTAGTGCCTGATTAAGAAAAGTGACTAATGTTTAGCTTGTTTTAAGAAGCTTACCTATTGTGTTGAAATCTTGTGGAGTGATGAGGCTGTTTCCTATGCTCTATTTCACCTTACACAAGACAGTAGTAGATGCTATAAACCATAATCACCAGTCCAGTGCCACAACGTATCATGAGGCTGCGCACCTTCAGTGACGCTGTGCCCCTTCCGAAAATCTTGTGACGAGAGGTGAACTTAACATTTTGCCACCCTAGGCCTTCAACAGTGCTGCCCTCAAACCTCACCTCCCCCCCAAACCCTGCTTTCCATGGTCACTGGCCAAGGGGAGTGGTTGGGGGGGGGAGTAGCTAAATTTGGGGATATCATTTTCAAATATAGCTATACTCGTTTTCACCTTAAGAAAAAAATGAACTTTTGCACATTACTCATACGCTGCAAGTAGTAGTTCTCATACGATTTCGTTGTCAGAGGGGGCAGCAATGCTTTTGGCATTTGAAATGTGTACGGCTCCATAAGATAATATATATTTGATGTAAAATGTGCCTGCATGTATCTTAATTCTCTACATAAAGGGGGAAATTAGTAATGATCCGCTAGGAGCCGGACTTTTTTTTACTGTGGTCCTTGAGGTGATAACGGGTACAGATTTGGAGCTGGAATTTCTAAAGTAGCTAAATTTGAAGCTACAATCACGTCTATGATTTGTAGGTTTCTGGTCTCTCGAAAGGTGGAACAAAATATAATTTATTGCTTGGACGTAAACAATATGTGCGATGAAAGATCCACTGGCAGGACGGCCTACATTTGCTGCCATCAATTGCATAAGGCTTAAAAATATTTTTTTGAGCTATAATTTTTTTTATCATTGTTTTTTTCTTTTTAGTCTTAGGTGAAGTGTTGTTTTCAGCACGTTTCCTTCGTAGATCTCTGACCACAAGAATTTTCTTTGCCTCTATTTTAGCCTTCCAGTCGGAGCTACTGAAGGTGGTGCTGGATGTGCGGCACGAGGTGCACCTTCTCCGCCAGGACACGGCGCAGGTCCTGGCAAACCAGGAACAGCTGGCAGTGCGCATTGCTCAGCTTGAGCGTGCGAACTGCCCGCCTGATGCCCCAGTGCCGCCAGCGGTTTTTATTTTACCGCTGGCGACAATGGAAGATTTTGAGGCAGCAGAGAGGCGCCTCATCAACCCCCCTGATCAGGCTGTCCTGGTGAATATCAAACTTTTTTTCACTATATGTTAGTGCCTTGTGGCTCAACCGGTTTGAGAAATGGAGCGACGGCATATGTTCAACTGCTTCGTATCTAAACTTTACCAAAATGTTAGCTTAACCATTATCTCTATTTAGTCACAGACAGCCACTTATTAAGGCAGCATTACGATTGAAGATATGGCCTTATTGTTTTCACACCTCTACATACTTTTGAGTCAAGAACAGGGGCATATAGAATGATTAAGGGCAATCAGTGCTCGCTGGAAAGTATAAAATGAAGGGAAGAAGGCAACAAGAACATCAAGAACAGCAGGGGCCAATTACCTGATCTATTAATTACTTTCAGTAAAAGTCTGGATCGATCTTCAGTATGATGATAATGCAATAATTGCAGAGGTGGAAGCTAGCTGGACAATAACAGTAGTAACTCTGGAGAAAAGGTATGGCGACAAAAGACAAACACAAATCTCCAAATGCAGCTAGGTGTGTTTCGAGATATGTGTTTGTCCTTTTTTTTCCCTTGCTCCCCTTCTTCAGGGTTTATTTTCATTAGATCTTCCGTACTCTCTTTTATATAATAGTGTAGTAAATACTGTCAACAGAGTTAATGCAATTTCACATTACCTTTTCACTTAGGTGAGATGGATGCCATACCATAGTCAGTTTTCATCTTACTCATATTAAATGAACTGTGATTCTTAAAGTGCAATATTTTTTTCTTTTATTCGTGTAGAAGGAGCAGCTCTCCGGCCTGGGTGGCAACACTATCGCGGAGGCTGTGCGGCGCACCCTGGAGCGGCTCCTGCGGAAGCAGGTGCAGATGCACTTCAGCATCTGCGGCCGCAGGGGCAACAAGCGGCCGTTCAGGGGCACGCAGCTCTGTGCCGTGGCCGTTGGTAAGGTGTTTTCATTCCACACCTTCATTGCTAATTAAAAATGATGGGAACTTTTTTCTTTTAATTTGTCAGCTGCCAAGAATCTGAAGAATTACTGGATCAGTTTTAAGCAAAATTTGTGGTTTGTAAACGTGCGCGTAAAGTGGCAAGAGTATTTTCATATAATTCCTGAATAAGTGTTTATAAAGCAAGCACTTTCTTTATCATCATGGTTAGTCATTTCCCCTGATTTTCTAATCAAGTCGAGGCTTTTCCCTTCTGGCTAGTGATCTTAGGCGGTGAGCTGATGTTTCAAGTAATGCACCATGTTAGTGGTATTGCTATGGAATCTGGATTATGAAAAACTTAATCTTTCAGGGACTCTAAACAAATTGCACTGAGTTGAAAATTATACTTAAGATTGAAAGAATAACACGCAAAGGACAAACACAGGACAATTACGAAAGAATGTGGTTGTCCTGTGCTTGTCCTCCACATTTTATTTTATTCTTTCAATTTTAAGTATTGTTTGTATATACGGTAGAGCCTCATTCATACATTCCCAGTTAAAAATTATTTCGGCTGTTACAGTCGGGAACTGCAGTCCTGTCGAACTCTCATGGGGTTACCTGTTTTAATTGTTTCTTATGTTTGCCTTTTCAACTGTTACACCTCTTTTTCATTTTGCCTCTTCATCTCTTTGTCCAGCACGCATGCTCTCTTCTGTCATTCACAGCGGCTTAGGTCCCCTGGTCGCACAAATTTAATTTCACATGGAGCTCAGAGTTCATAATCATGCACTGCCCATGGTGCGCGTGCATGAAGCTTCATTGCTTTGCAGTGGCTGGTGAGAGCAGCGTCTGGGTTCTCTCAAACGGGGAATACATTAGCTTATTCTTAGGTTAGTTAGCAGATTAATATTGGTGTTGAAATAACACTCAGCACTGCTGTCAATGCCTAAAGCTGGCTCTGAATTGTGTGTGAGCAGGAAAAACTGGGGTCATATGCAGTGATGCCATTATAGGGTTGCGTGGCCCGCCATGACACCCCCCCCCGAGCGCTGCACCTAAGGTGGTGCCCCCCCCCCCCCACCTTTTCCACTTGCGAGTTGTGAATGCGAAAGCATGCAAGCCACTCGTCTCGTGCACTCCCCCCCCTCCCCCACCCTTCCCTCTTGTGACACCACTGGTCATGTGCAAAGTCGGTGCTTTTCACTGAGTTGGTGCTGTGATGTATGTGTGAACAGGCCTTTGTAGACGAACACATGGCTTTGATGCCACGCCACCGCAGTGACGCTGTTGTCAAAATGGTGCGTGCACAAACGCCTCACCTCACAGGAAGCTCATTTCCGCGCATGCACAGTGCCTACATTTAATGTGGCCAAATGCAGGCTTGTTTAAAACAGTGCATTGGTCTATAGGTCGACCTTGTTTGGTTATGATTACAGATCAACTCCTACTGGTAAAGAACAGTTTCCAGCAAATGGTTAACCTGTTTAGAATAAATATGGTAATTCTTTCTCGGCAGCCCTAAACTCGACTTGGAATAAATTACTGCACGAGAGTTTCCCCCTGTTTCTATAGGCCCCTAATGCATTTTGTGACTTGCTTTGTGGCGTGCATAACATTCGCTTCTGCTGTTTTTTTGTTTTCTTTTTCTCCAGCTATAATCCGGAGCCGAGTGGGAGGCAGCGTGGTCGACGTGGAGCGTGCCATTGGCGACTACTTGTCTGGGGCCCCGGATCGCGAGGGAGGCAGGGCTGAGAGGATGGCCAAGAAGATTCAAGACGCGGCCATCCTCTCAGCCCAATTCGTCACTGTCCTGCCCAGCAGCCTGCCAGAGGGCGACTTTGACGTCAACGCTGACATCTTGGACATCTCACAGACGTGATGTCAAGAACAAAAACGAAAATTGAAAATATAGAAATAAAAGAAAAAACATTGTTCCGAGTCTTCTTTCTCGTGCATTCCATCCACAAACTTGTAGCAAAATTGAAATGGCAGACTTTAAATTGTTTTGTTCTGTTGCGATTTAGCAACTCATGAGGACATTGCGAAAAATCGAATTGAACTAGGTAATTGCAAATGGGTTTTGTCCACTATCATATTTCTTGATGCAAAGACTCATGTAATGCAAGCTTATCAAAGGGTACAAATTGGGCCTCCCAGGATGGTTGCAAGGTTTGCTCACAGCTAAGTGAAATTGGTCCTTGGCAATGGACCGTGTTTATACTAAGCTCGTTCAATTTACCTGCACCTTTTGCACTGGTGCAGAAAAGTGTAGGGCAGTGCTTCTGGTGTGTGTATTGAGATACCACTGAAAGCACCACCCTGCACTTTTATGCACCGGTGCAGGTAAATCGACCGAGCTTTACTGTACAGCTGAGATTGGCTGACGACTGAACTGCCACCCTGGCCCGAGCTACATTTTCACCGTATTGCCAAGCTTGGCTGACTGCTGAAATGCCATCGTGGCCCAGGTTGTATTTACTCCGTTTGGCCAAGCTTGGCCGACCGCTGAACTGCCACTCTGGCCCAGTCCGTATTTACACAGTTTTGCCAAGCTTGACTGACCACTGAACTGCCAGCATGGCCCAGGCTGCGTTCAGACCGTTTTGCCAAGCTTGGCTGACCACTGAACTGCCAGCCTGGGCCTGGCTGTAGAGACGCCATAGAGCCAAGCTTGGCTAGACAAGGAACCCCCACTGAACTGCCAGGGTGGCTAGCCAGGCTGGGGATAGCTTGCCCCTTGGAGCAAAATGGTGCTTGGGCCGGGGAAACTTTCCCCGGCTGCCCAAGCGGGCTCAAGCTTGAACCAGGGAATTGTGCTGCTTGGGTTATACTTCGTAAAAAACAGAGGAGAAATTTATTCGCGCCAACACGAAGGCGCCGGCGTATGCATCTGTGTTTTACGAAGTAAAATGAGTATGCGATCTCATTTAATTATACGGCAAACCAAATATTCGCGGGAAGCAGCCACACGGTGATGTAAATAGCAAGAACGATGGTGAATAAATTTTATAGCAAACACGCTGATTGAGGGCGCTGCAATCGGGCGTTCCTTCTCCGGTCTATTCCATGCCGATCGATCTTTTCGAGTTTGAAACTAAGTAAAATATGAGGGGTACTCGTTGTTATTTTCTGTCATGCTCTTGCCTCGTACATTTTGCCTTTTATTTGGGAAACATGCGGAATTCCATTTTGACGGATAGATATTTGGAGATATTTATGGGACTCTTCCACTCACAGGGGCGGATTTACGAGTCAGGCTTGAGGGGGCTGCGTTGAAGGATGGGACGTCCATAAACGAAAGCCCCTCGGGTGAGGGTTGGCCGCCCCCCCTGCTCCCTCCGCCCCGCTTTAAATTCGCTTCGTCCATTAAATTCGTTTTTCAAGTTCTGTGGCAGAACTAGTTCGTCAAAAAGACACTGAACACCGAAAAAAACAAGAATAAGAAACCTCCCAAGTTTTTTGTTTTGTTGTTGTCCTTTTTAGACCGGTCGCATGTAATTTGATCAGCATTATAGCTACAGGAACTCGGTAGGGCCGGGCGAAACTCCCTAATTTCTTGAAGTGCCTGTACGAACGCAGGGAGAAAGGAAGAATCCAATTGAATTGACAATGCGGTACCACCGGCTAATTAGAACCTGCCCAATGATTCCGGTGGCGACGCACACGAACATAAGTTAGGGTGAGCGGCGAGAAAGTCAAAGGAAAAGGTTGAGAAATAAAGATCCACAATCGGTACCGCCCTGGGGAGGCACAACCGATTTAAATCCAATAAGGAATACATAAAAATTGAGTTTCAATGAACCACCAAAATGAAGCTGCAGACGGGAGCGACAATTCGAGTATCGTGAGGCAAACTGTTCGGGAGCATCAGGCGTGCACCGTGCAACGTAATTTCCACCGCCGCCACGCGCGACTAAATGCCTCTCCAAACAGGACACTTCGAAAATTCTGAGGCGACATGACCCCGACATAAGTCGTGCGACAACCCACTCCTGTCATATATATATATATATATATATATATATATATATATATATATATATATATATATATATATATATATATATATATATATATATATATATATATATATATATATATATATATATATTTTTTTTTTTTGCCGGGAGGACATTTTTTTTTTTTGTGTCATTTTTTTGCTTGTGTTTTCCGCGGGGGCCTTGGGCTTGCTCATCACGTGGGTCCGACAGAGCTCCCAAGCTCTGTTGGCAGTCGGTCAATCGCTCAAGGCCTCCGCTGCTCCTCAGTTCCCTAAAGAAACGGGAAAGGCTTTGTTCGAAATCTTCCCCGGAGAGATCCGAGCTACTTCGGCAGGTTGATCCAAGTGATAACACCGATGGAGCGACGCTGGACGCAGGCTTTCGGACGCAAAGATACAAAACCATTCCCCCGGGGCTCTAAACTCGCCAAACACAAGGTTTGGGCCGAAGTTCACTGAGCGCGCCGATGGGACAACCACGACGACGACGACTCCGCGCTTTTGTCGCCAGCGTTGGATCGGCGCGCTCCGCGAACTTTCGGCTCCAACTTTGTGTTCGACGAGTTCAGGTCTCCGAGAGTAAGATCGAGTAAAAATTGGAACACGTCCAAAGATACGAGGGCCCGTCGAAACAGATGAACAGCATTGGCAGGTGACACGCGTCACGTCAAGCCTGACAAGCACCGAGGTCACCGAAAAGCGGAGGAAGCGAGGAGGAAACTCGCCATGTTGGCTCGCTGGTGATCCAACACACATCGGACTGCCGGACGCTTCAACTTCCACGATTTTTGCCGGATTCATGTCACCTCACGATTTCTGAAGTGTCCTGTCTAGAAATATTTGCCCCCCCCCCCCCCCCCCCCCCGCCCTTTCCTCCAAACACACACACACACCTACTCCCTCCTCAACCCTTTCTTCTCGTCAACGGGTATTCTGAAATGCACCAAACAGTCAAACACACAGCTAAAAGAAGAAAGAGGTAATAACATTGTGCGTTCCTTTTGCGCTTCCAGGAAGAGGAGCTGTGTTATCTGAAACAAGCTTTCTGAAAGGCCTCCCGTCGATGCGGCTATATATAGGGCTGACGCCTCGCCGCCCCGCTTGGAAACCCAAAGCAAAATAAACGCGGGTTTCCGACCGCACAGGTGCCTGTGTGGACGGAGCGCGTGCAGTCTTACGCGAAGCACGCATCCCCCGAAGCAGGCCGCGGATTGGGCTCGCGTACTCCGTCTGGACCGCAGCGGCCGCTCACGAGGCCATCCAAGCCAATGCAACGCTGCGAACTTATCACGTGATCCCGCACGTCACCGCTCCCCTGCCGATGGTCACGTCACGTGACGCTCGAGCGGCCTCGGATTGGATTCGATGGCCCGAGCTGACGTCCGCGGTCCGTCGTACAAGGCGAAACGGGGCCTGGTATCGGGGCACGACACCTGAAAGCGTTTGGCCGTGTTCGCTCTCTCGTATGCCGTCATCGAACAATCGGGGGAGTTCGGGGACGAGCGAGCGAGAGCAGCTCGGAATTCCGCGAACGTTTGGCGCGAACGGGTCGTGTTTTGCCGCTCGGGGAAACGTCGAGGCGCGGCGGGGAGAACTAATGACGCGTTCCTTCGCAAATAAAACTTTTACGACGCGCGGTCATGTTTTCGTGATGATTGTACTGGCGGGTTCGTACATAAATCGAGTTCTCTGGAAAGAGCGTTTTACAATGGGTGCTATTGACGAGGCTGGCTATGGTTTCTCGCGAACAGCAATCGAAGAACATTTTACTGGGTATTCTGCCCGCTAATGGCGAGGCCGTTTTTCCTATTGTTAGTCTTTATTTGATTTGCACGAAGTGCTGCCTGCAGGTGCTTTTGCGTTCCTCTTGTTTTCTTCGGGTTGTAAGACGATTTTGTTGGGCTTCTCAATTCAGCTGGCGCCATCATTGAGGGCGCTGTTTAGAGCGCGTGCTCAGAACGAGCTCACATTAATAGGTTGATAAGAGCGGCATTCTTGATGGTGCGGGATGCACGTTGCAAAAGAACTCCTGAACATCGCCGTCAGCACGTCCTCAGCAGCCGCGCACACAGCCATGGTCGCCAATAAACACTCCCTACAAAAAAACAACAAAAAACGGTGTGTTTGTGTGTTGTGCGCGTGCGCGCGCGCGCGTGTGTGTTTATACGATCTGAACGTAGTCTGCTCAACGGGCTACTTGTCTCTTAGCTGTGGATGGGCAATTTAGCCAGTGCAGTACAACCGCTAGCCTGGGGTCCTTAACGTGCGCCACGCAGTAGTGATACACGACCGCACGCCGGTGCAATGCTCATCCGGATCGAAACGGGCAGGGGTGCGGATGGAACCCAAGAACTCGGGGATCTGCAGCGCGAGCTTTCACTCCACGCGCTCCAAGCTGGTATGCGCTAGCCCACTCGGCCATCGAGGAGTTCGTATTTGTAACTGCTTTACAAACCCCCTTAAAAAAAAAAAAGGTTCTTTTTTTTTTTTTTTTTTTTTGTGTGTAAGCAGCTCGGGTGGGACACGCGCGCCAAGAAATGCGAAAATAAAAATTTACAGCAATATTGACGGCGCGAGATCTACTTTAAATTCTGCGCGCAGAGTCCGTGAGGTCACGGAATGGTCATACACTCTTTTCACCTCGACGAGATGGTCATACACTCTCTCCACCTCGACGAGATGGTCATACACTCTCTCCACCTCAACGAGATGGTCATACACTCTCTCCACCTCAACGAGATGGTCATACAGTCTCTCCTGCACGCGTCCCGGAATGCCGAGAGAGAAAAAAAAAAAAAATGGTTAAAAGGAGGTAAGTACCCACAAAATTACGTCTCGCGCCGTCAATATTGCTGATTTTGTTTGTTTCTTTTTACATAAAATTATTTTTTTGACACGCGTGTCCTAACCAGACTGTTCAAAATTTTTT